AGTCAGTCAGTCAGTCAGTCAGTCAGTCAGTCAGTAAGTCAGTCAGTAAATCAGTAAATCAGTCAGTCAGTCCATCCTAACTCACATCTTCCTTTGAGAGTCACGTGTCTATTTCCAGGAATCACTGTAAAAATGTTAGTGCATCTTTCTTGTTTGTCATTCTTACCTTCAGCGTCACCTGCAGCAGCCTGAGCTCCTCTTCCAGTATTTGTAAATCGGGGAACTGTCCTCTGTAATCATCTAGACAGGAAAGTAGAGTTTCCAGAGCATCCTCCAACCCAATGTTCGCCAAGCCGTCTCCCTCACTGGGAAGACTTTGTGCTTCCACGTATGGCTCATCTTTCTCTAACGACTGAGCATTTCGGTCGTCAGTTCTGGGAGACGTGACAACAGATTCACCTTTTGGATGCTCCAGTAGGAGTTGATCTGCACAGAGCCCTTCTGGTGACATGTTGGTATGTGAGGCACTTGGACTGGGAGGCTCAGGAGTTGTGCTGGGCCACTCTATCTCAATGTCACTGACCGAGGTCCCAGACACCAGAGAAAACCCATCCCCTGATTCACCAACAGATTGGTCCGTCAAAGCACTTCCGTCAGCACTACTCTCACTGATGTGGCTGAGAGACCTCAAGGGTGGCCCTGTGGTAGGACTGATGGTTCCCGCTGTATCCACCTCTTCATCACTGGTTGCATTTTGTATCGTCACCTTTTTGTCTCTGCAAATCAGTTCACACAATTACTCATGTCACTAACTGGGCCATTTAATCTAACAACATGTCAGTTAGGCCCCCTTCACACTGGATGATGACCTTGCTACAAGAAAAACAAGCAATATGCCGATGCTGAGGGATTCAAACTATGAATGTTTGTAGTTTTCAAGATAAGCATTTTGTCTGAACAGTAAGTGAACAGGGAATGTAAGTAAACCTCAACATTTTAGGTGCAAGATACTTAAGGGAGTAGGGGTTGCACTGTGAATAAGAATCAATGTAGGGTATTTTTTCTGCTTGTCCAAGGTGGCGCAGAGTGACGGATGGCAAGATGAGGGAGAAATTTTATCCACAAACTCGCACAATGGAGGAGCCAGGGTGTGGGTAATGGTGGACTTGGCCACCATAAATTAATCTTTGGACACCCCAGTCATTAGGAAACTACTTTTAAGTCATATAAAAACTAAAAAGCATGGTTTCCTCAAATGAGAGGCGTGGTCATTTTACATATATATATGGCGGTGGCCATATTGAATTTTGACGAGGTAGCCTAATTTCTTATAGTGACTTGTTACACCCAGATGGAGCTGCACACCGAAATGGAAGTCGGCACATTGCCTATTTTTGGCAGCTAACCACCTGCCACTGTCCCCGGAGCGGGTCAAGCTGGCACTGTCCGAGCACTTGACACCACTCGGGGATCAACAGATAATTGAAAAAAAAAAAAAAGTAGTACCGTTTTACCATTCCAGACCTGGCGTAACTGGTCATAGAATACCACGAGTTCTGACTATACCTGGGATTAAAGGGATTTAGGCTAGATTATACTCTGGGTATACTATGACCTAAGTCTATTTATACTCTGGGGTATAAATTGGCCTAGGTCTATTCATACCCCTCAGCCAGATTATATCCTGATGATATCAGTAGTGTTGAGTCATAAACTCAAGAAATGCTTAATTTTTGTTTATTTTATTGGGGTTTCAGATTTGTCAGGTAAGCTAAGCAACAAATCTAACTGACTTAAATCTTAAAACTCTGAACATAAGTTAATTCATACCTCATAGGCCAGATTTTGAGTATAGATTGTTATATACTGGTCTGGAGTGGTATAGTCTGGCCCAAGCCATTTTACACCCCAGGCTACAGTTTGTCCGAGGACAGTTTATTCCCCCAAGGAGGACTCTGGCCTGGGCCAAACTGGACCTGGGTTTAATCAGGGCAGGAGTTAATTTGGCCTGTTACACCAGATGCCCAAATCTAAAACCACCCAGAATAAAAAGAACGTGTAAAAAAACACCAAAACAAACTAAATGGATTCAAATCTCCACATTTGTGATTTAATGTACTGGAGAAATAAATAGAAATAAAGAGGCAAATCTGCAAAATTTTTAACAAATAATGTTTATTGGAGACTGCCTAGTAAAGCAGCCACCTATTATTATCCACCTAAGATCATCAGGTGTATCTCCAGATTAACGTTTGGAGCCATTTTGATTCAAGATGGCTGCCACAGCTACCTCAGCAAACACAAAATCGACTAAAACTCAGTCATTCTTTGAGATATTGAGCAGAAATAACAGTTGCAGCTGAGAGCGAGTTGCTATACATTCCTAATGCAAATCAAATATATCCAAGATGGCCGCTTTAGCTAAACTCAGCCATTTTTAAAGCTATTCAGCTGACGTTTGGTGTGTTGTAGCTGAGAACGACCCCTAATAGATTCTGATTGCAAATTAAAAATTGGTGTGGTGGCAACTGAGAGCAATGCACATTAAATACTGAATTCAAATTTAAAAAATGCAAGATGGCCACCAAAACGTTTATGGCTTTCACTCAGCTATTTTTACACATTTAGAGCTGAAAGTTGGTGAGGCTTTATCTGAGAACGTTCCCTATCACGTACTGAATCCAAATCAAAGATCCAAGGAGCCTACCATAACTTAAAGAAAAAATGATTTGAATTTTTGCCATTTTGAGCTGAACTTTGGTAAAATAGCTGAAAACGAACCCCAGCACATTCCTGTCAAATCAAAATTTTAAAGTGGCAGCAACGTGGCAGTCCCCATCAAATTGTCTCCAGGAACATTTTAATTATAATTTATGCTCAGTCTAGTTCTTAGACCTGTAGCTCGAGACATTTTCTGTCATGAGGACAGCTCTTGTGCAGGAATTAAAATAATGCTCTAGTTTTCTAGAACTATGGAAACTAGATTGAGACAGGTTTGAGAAAACTCTGCAACCATTCAGAAACAAAATAGCAGCATCACACTGAAAGAGGTTTTATACATTTGTTGAGATCAAGCCACAAGTTGCAAATCATGGAGAGCAAGGTGGAGCCTTCATACCGTGAAGTCAGGCCTAACAAACTAAATGTTCATAATGAATAAACAGCCTTACTGGGATCTGAGGAAACTGGGAACCTCAGAGATGTTGACGGACGCCTTTTTCTCAGCGGGAGTTGGAGTTGAGCAGGTGAAGCCTCTGGAGCTTTGTGAGGACGGATCTTTTGGACGTTGAACCTCCGGTGTCATTCGTAGGTCCTACAGTAACAGTGGGACACGAGGACTTACCCCCTCACCAAAACCACCCAGTCATGCTGGATCCGTTCACACACTTTTACCCCCGACTCACTGCTTTTAACATGTTTACATGCAATCAAAAGAAATCACACAAACTTTTGAAACTTTTAAAACATATCTGACCAATTAAGCGAAGTAATCTGGACGGATTAAAAAAAAAAAACTTGTTGAAATGTTTCGTCTTTAATCCAAAAGACTATAAGAGCACTATTATGGTGAGTGGACTTTAAAATGAATCCAACTCCGAGTATGTCCCACGTTATAATAAACAAAATCACATTTTATTTTTCTTGTCTTCTGCTGAAAATGATGATCTTTTTGCCTTCGTATGTGTGTGTGCAATGTTATGTTTTTATGTAAACAACCAGATAGAGTTTAATGAAACTTTCAATTTTTTTTATTATTTTTGTTACAGTTTGTTGCTGATTAAATGTTGAGCCTGGTTCAAAACGAGCCCACAGCTAACGAGCCTTAATAAACACACACGGCTACAGCTCGGCCAGTTTCACAGACACTCAGCTGAATCTTGATGTGGTAGTAGCTGAGAGTTTTTCACAACTAATACCTGATCAGGGGAGACGTCACTACATGTATATCAAACAATAATAGTGTTTTCTGAGTGTGAACGACGGTCATTTATTATCATTTGTCTAAAATTAGTCTCAGTCTAAAAGTGACACAAGAAGTGGCGAGTGATATTTTACACTCGTCTTGTTGAGTAACTCCTAATTCTTTGGTTTACAATATAATATGTTATGATTTTTTTAATCTTACATTTTTGATGTAGACGTTTAAATACATATAATTGTAGTGGTAAAGTGTATTATTAAGAGCCTGTCTTGTGTTACCTGCTGAGGGGGCGAGACGTGCAGCGCTGCGATCGACAGCAGAGGGCTGGAGAAGTCGTCCAAAGACTCAGATGAACGAGACCACAGTGTCCCGTTAGTTGGATGTTTGTTGGATGGAGTCGAGCTCTGCAACAGAACAGAGACCAGGGGACACACCCCTGGATGTTACAAAAAGACAACAGGAAGTTGTGGGCAGTCCCTCCTGGAGAAAACACTTGTAAACACAATCTTCTATAAAACAAGAGGTACGCTGATGTCTCCCGTCGCTGAAGAAAATAAAAAGTGAATGTCTGTAGTTTTGAGATGAGTGTTGATTTAAACAGAATGTACTGGAAAGTAAACCTTTATGTTGTTGGTACAAGAGATTCAAGTATGCAGGAGTTACACTGTGGAGAAGAACATGGGGAGGTTTAATTAGTTTGTTAGTTTGTCCGAGGCAGTGCAGAGTGACGGATACCTGGGACATGAGTGAGGAACGTTATCCACCACCAGGTGCAGTGGTGGAGCCAGGGGGTGGTCAATGGTGGCCTTGACCACCATAGATTAATGTTCAGCCACCCCAATCATTTGAAGAAACAATACTTTGAAGCAAAAATTCAAACTAAAAAGCAAAGTCTCCTCAAATGATTGGGGTGGCCAGTTTAAATTTATATATATGGTGGTGGCCATCTTGGATTTTGACAAAACAACCCATGTTTTGACAGTGACCTTTCTTATGCCTAGATGTAGCCACACACCAAAATGGAGGTCGGTACCTCATTTATTTATCAAGTTATGTTCACAACATGCAGGGATGGATGGAAGGACAAAATTAGGATTCAGCGTCTCAGGAGGTTGAAAATGACGTCTTGTTTTTGGACAAACTTGTTACAGTCTCTGTGTCCCAACATGAAGGTTATTTTCCAATCATTTTTTAAATTAATTTAAGACCTGAAGCTCTCGACCTTTGACCTCTCTAAGTGACTTTAAGAATCTGTTGGACTCCTGGCAGGGACCAATGCAGACATGTTCCTGTTTTTAGTTTTCTACATTCGCCTTATAATCCAGCTGTTTTGTTACTGTATTTGCCATCTTATTTGTAAAAAAAAAAAAAAAGAAATCTGTATGCTTTTTTATAATTGTTTATTGTTGTTGTTGTTGTCCATTGTTGTCATCTTTCTTTGTTGAATTCAGGTCTCTCTTGTAAATGAGTCCTCTGGGCTCAGTGGGATTTACCAGTCTAAATAAAGGTTGAATGAATAATTAATATTTTTTAACTCTACCATAGAAGAAACGCTAATTTCTGATTCGTCTTTAGCTTTTACTGAGCCAGATGCAGCAGCAAGCTGCAGGAGCACGGTGCGCCCGCTAATAACGTCCTGCGTTGAGGGAAACCAACGGCAGTCGGTTGTTTTCTGCTGTGGATCATCTGATGCTGCAGCCTACATGCATGCAAAACCAATTTTTGTGCTAAATGTTTACTTGTTCACATTACAAGTGAGCTTTTGCTCTTTACATCCAAACTAAAACAGTTTTGTTGGACGAGATGAGAGGCAGGACTGCGCAGCAACGTCCAGAGGGAGCTGAAGTCTGTCACGGTAGATTATTACAGAAGCTCTCCAGTTTAAAAGCAGCACAACATATACAGAGCTAATGTAAAATCTACAGTATAAGGATAGAGGTAAAAAGAAAAAACATAACTGAGAAATGAATTATTTTATAATATGTTAATAATATGTTAGTGGGGAGTGGTGGCGCAGAGGTTAGAGAGGTGGGCTTGTGATCCGAAGATCGCCGGTTCACGCCCCGGCCCCGACAACATCAAAAAAAATTGTGGGTGGGGTTGGTGAAACACCCACACTTGCCCCCACCCTCATTCGCCCCACTCTGGGCCCATGAGCAAGGTCCTTAACCCCCACCATGTGCTCCCTAAACAGGTCTCTCTTGGAAATGAGTTCTCGTGGCTCAATGAGACTAACCTGGATAAATAAAGGCTAAATGAAAAAAATAAAAGCTGTTTTTTAATGTGTCGACACATTAAAAAAACATTAAAAAAAAAATCAGATCTGATCCTCTGTCATAAAGTTACTGAGAGGTTATGAGAGCATCTGAAAAAACTGTGACAACGTAAAAAATAGATTATTTAGTCTTGTCAGAAAAAACTGCTGTTTATTGACTGCACTCAAATAAATTAATAAATAAAAACACACAAAAATAAACGTGTGGCGGATTTTTCCTGAAAAGACGACCGAGCGGTTCAGGTCCTCCCAGAGTCAGATCTGTTGGTGACTAACTTTGTCATTTGAGATGCATGAAGGCCACTGTTGTTTTGTTTGTATTTGTTTGTGTTGTTTGTATGTTTCACGGTTTCTTTTAAAATTTCTATTTATTTTGATCACTTCATCCAAATCCTTCATTAGTTTAAGAAGTTTCAAACCAACAGCGCAGTGAAAGATTTACACTTTAATAAAGAGACGGACTTACGTAGTTTGGGTTGTTTGGAGGAGGCGTGTCAGGCGGACTTGGGTTGGGGATTCTTTGGATTACGTTGAAAGAGCCTGGAAATAATCCTGATTCGTCTTTATCAAAAGGACTGAGGAGGAAAGAAACGAGTCAAAGAAAACCAAAACAGTAATAAGCTTCAGATAAAGTTATGAGTTTATCTAAAGATAGGCTAACTAAAGAAAACGGCTATCTACTAAACTTACTTCCAGGCGACTTCAAGGTTTAGTTTAATAGTTCCAAGATCGTTAATGTCCACAGCAACCATCTGGGGGAGAGGAACAAACAGGTCCTTGGTTTCACAGGACACGTTTCCTACCACCACGTGATTGGCCAGGCTCTTCAGCTCCGTCACCTGGAAACCACAGGAACGTTGCTTTATCTTCTGGCTGGAGACTTCAGTTTGAACCAGTTAAAACCTACGCACTGTAAAACTGCAACACAGTTAGAGCTAGGCCGGTCACGATAACAAATTTTGCTGGGTGATTAATTGTCTCAGAAATTATTGCGATAAATGATAATATTGTTTGAAATTTGACAATAACTAGTAATTATTATCAAATTTTAGAAGAAATGTTTAATTTGTTTTGTGTGTAGTACCTTTTTTGACCACTGGATGGTAGTATAAGACTGTTTGAACCGAAGGATGGATAGTGAGGGAGCGAGCAGCGTGTCTCTTTAAGAAAAATAGGAGGGAGGCTCCTTGACGTGACATGGGCTGATATGGTGACATGGCGGACGCTCGGTGGTTTGAGCTCTTTAGCATTTTTCACTCAAAGCTTTTAATAAAAAATCAGTAAACACGTTCTCAGCTTCTTTTTGCAGAGAAAAACAACTTTTTACACGAAGGCACGAGTTTCAATCGTGAGTTTTGGAGCTTCGACGAGACGGAGGGTTTTTCCCCCCCGAGGTCGGCCTGTTAGCTCGTAGCTTAGCTTCTTAGCTTAGCTGCTTTTAACGATCCAAAAACACGATTTTGGACGTTTTTTAAAGAGAAAGGAGAAAGGGAGGGGTCAGTGAAGAACCGGAGTTGAGTCTTTTGTCCTCCAGTGTCTTCAGTAGAAAGAGAGACACGAAGAAACGATAAAGCTGATAAATGAAAATGAGGTCAATAATTTTCATTTATCATGCGATTAATTGGTTTATTGTTTATCGCGACAGACCTAGTTAGACCAGTCATTACCCTTACTGGGTGCTTCAGGCGAGAATGCTTCCTGTGAGTAAGAGTCCGAGTCTTTTTCTGGACACTAACCTTCACAGACAGAAACTCGTTGATGAGTGGGAGGAACACCATCCCCTCGCTGTCCCACACTTGCTTAGAGTTGATTTCTATTCTTCCCCGGAGTTTCCATCGCTGTCGACCGTACTTCATGAAGATCTAAACACAGATGAGTAAATTATGAAAAACTGACTCGGAGCCTTTTTTGTGGCGGCTAAAGATCAGCTGGAGAAGAGAAGGTAGAGACAAACCTCGTACTGATCACCAGCACACAATCTGGCAAACCCAGCAAGACCTGACGAACGAGCGGAGAAAACACCTTAGAATGAACTTTACGGAAACAAGAAGAGCTGAACGCAGCTCCAGCATCAAGAACCTTACCTTTCATCTTTATGTGGAACTTCCCCAGCTGGTTCTGTAACTCACTCTCCAACGCACACATGTTCTACAAAAAGACCAGGACTCGTTCAGAAAGCTGGCGATGATGTACTGCAGCACTTCTGCAACTTCTCATACTATGTCCACCTTTTCACTCAACAAGAATAAAACTAAATCAAATTTAACTGTAAGCATTTAATATCCAGTTTATACATATACAGTAGATCTTCTTCTTTCTGCTGCTCCTTCTTCAGGGGTCTCCACAGTGAACCAACTCACACGAAGACTTGGTGATCGTTTGTACGCTGGACGTCCTTCCTGACTCGAGCACAGACACCGAGCTCCCACAGCCCTCTGTGTGGAGCAGAGGGCGCTCGGGGGTGCAGATGGTGGGGGTTAAGGGCCTTGCTCAAGGGCCCAGAGTGGGGCAAATGAGGGTGGAGGCTGGTGTGAGTGCATCACCATTTTCACCCACATTTTGATGTTGTCGCTCTGGGGAGTTGAACCAACGACCTTCCAATTACAGGCCCACCTTCTGTAACCTCTGAGCCAACACATATGGACGTCACATCAATATGAACTCCTCTGCTTGAGGCAGAACTTCACCCTCGACCTGAGGACAGCAATCCTTTTCTGACTGAGGACCGTGGCCTCAGATGTGGAGGTGCTGGTTCTCATCCCAGCCGCTTCACGCTCGGCTGCGAACCGCTCCAGTGAGCGAAGTAACTTTACTGGGGGTTTTATTATAGCGAACGTTTCCTCTCACCTCCGTGTACTCCTTGTGTTCTTTATTGGCCTCCACCAAACTCTCCTTGGCCTCTTTGCTTCCTGGAGAAGCCGTGAACGCCTTCATCATCTTGTTGGCTCCGTCTCTCAGTCTCCTCTGAAGACAGTAAGCTTCATAGAGCTCCTCAATCTGCGACAAGGACAGAAAAGGTTACGTCATCAAATATTCTTAGACGGTACGGTCAGTGTGAGCATGACTAAATAAACTGAACCGGTTGAGGCAGGAAGAGATTTAATTTCTGGCTGAGGTGTTTTATGCACAAAACTTGAAGTGCCAGAACACGAGTACCCGTGGCTCAATGGGACTACCTGTATAAATAAAGGTTAACTAATAAAAAAAAATAAAAAAAAATCGATCAATAAACTTTACAACTGAAAGTTATCAGATCAATACATCAACTGGAACCACTGAAGTTATGTCCTAAAATATAAACAGCTCCAAAAAGTATTTAAAGTAAAAAATAAAATGTTTACAATACAAAGGTGGAAAACAACAAATTATATAAATGAAATTAATTCAATAATCGATTATGGTTTCACCATAAATATAAACACCTCATTGTTATTGTAATAATTTTTTTATCCAGTCTTGAGGATATTTCTTTACTGGTCCTAACTGGTTAACTACAACAAAATGGCCGACATTTTATTGTAGAAATTGTCAAAGAAGAGAGAAAAGACCCGACTGATAGAAATGATAAAGCTGCTGCCAGATGTTCATTAGGGTCCCCAGCACTCCTACTGAGTCAGGCAGACAGAAACTAAAGGGAACAGTTGTCCTTCAGCTGCTGTTTGAAAATACGAGTTAGTTCTTTAAAGGTTTGTGAACGCTGAGCACCAGAAGACTCCGACGGTCACATGAAAAACCCGTTTGTTATGCAGAACTGTTGAGGCTACAGAAACTAATACCAAAATAATTCTCCGTCTCAGCGTGACGTCATCCGTCACGTGATAATACACCATCATTTTCAGTTGGGGAACTGCACTGTTGTGGACCGCTGACAGACGAGTGAACTGGAACATATTCCTTTAAATGAGTGCATGAACTTAGTTACAACACTTTTCATTAAATGTTAAATATGTTCAGAATTCTGCTGTTTATAATTAATAATAATGGCAAAATATGATACTATCAATTAACACAGATTTGAACAGTGATGCCGTTTAATTTATGTAAAACAATTTAAGGTCAAATAAAATTTTATGGGTGGTACGGTGGTGCAGTTGGTAGAGCTGTTGCCTCTCAGCGAGAAGGTCGCTGGATCAAATCCCAGCCGGGGGCCATTCTGGGTGGAGTTTGCATGTTCTCTCCGTGCTGCGTGGGTTTTCTCCAGGTACTCCAGTTTCCTCCCACAGACCAAAAACATGCATGTTAGACTGATGGTAACTCTGAACTGTCTCTAGGTGAGAGAGAGAGAATGGTTGTTTGTCTCGTTTGTCTCCAGGTGTCTCTATGATGGACTGGAGAGACATGTCCAGGGTGTCCCCGCCTCTCACACAGTGAATGTTGGGCATGGGCACCAGTGATCCAAAAAGGAAAAAGTGGATAAAGAATGGATGGATGGATACAAACAGCTTTCAATAATATGGTATACATGGTGATCAAAGTGTCCATCCATCCATCCATCCATTCCTCTTTTTCTGGACTCAGGTCTGGGGGCAGCATCTTGATCATGGAGGTCCAGACATCTCTCTCCACAACCTCTTCCAGCTCTTCTGGGAGGATTCCAAGGTGTTCCCAGGTCAACTGAGAGACGTCTCTCCAGCGTGTCCTGGGTCTTCCCCAGGGTCTCCTCCCAGCTGAACATGCCCGAACCACCTCAACTGTCTCCTCTGGATGTGGAGGAGCAGCGGTTCTACTCTGAGTCTCTCCTGATAACTGAACTTCTCACCCTGTCTCTGAGGGAGAGTCCAGCTCCTGCAGAGGAAACTCATTTCAACCTCCTGGATCCACGAGCTCATTCTTTCAGTCACTGTAGACTACACACTAAACAGGTCTCTATAGAAAATGAGTCATCGTGGCTCAATGAGACCAACTGTCTAAATAATGGTTGAATGAACTACCCAGAGTTCAGGACCATAGGTGAGGGTAGGAACGTAGACTGAGAGCTTCACGTTACAGCTCAGAGCCATTTTCACCACAATGGACCGGCACAGTCCACAATACTGCAGATGTTGCGCCAATCCATCTGTCAATCTCATGCTCCATCCTTCCCTCACTCGTGAACAAACCAGTTGATCAAAACTGGCTCTTGGGACATGGAACGTACCTACAGCAGCGTTCCATTTTCCCCTTCCCGGTATAGCAGACGGAAAAATTATATATTTTTTGTTTGGATGTTTCTCCTTGTTAGACGTGCAATCGTTCACTGCAGCGGCTCACCAACTGGTCAACTTTCCCCTAAAACCAACATGTCCGCCTCCTTGTACCTCTTTGTATGTTCGACTTTGAGAATTACGGTTTTGTTGCACGGTATTGGCTTCATTTATACAGAAACACAGAAAAGTTTGGCTTATTTTCATGAGATTGTGCGACCCCAGTGGAAATGTGCTCATGATCTTTAAACCTTTAACCCCAACAGCTGCAGCCCTGTGAGGTTCGACCTGCCCAGTTACTCAAGTTAAATCTACAAAATGTGTTTGCTGATGGTCTTACCTTGCTGAGGTGAAACTCCAGTCGCCTCACGTACCTCTCAATCACTTTAACTTGCTGTCAGAGGAAAGCAAACGTAGACTTGTATAATTTGGTCTGCAGACTCAGCTGTTTTCACAAAATGCTTCTTAAAGTCCAGTCTGCCTTAAACTTCCTTTGCTTTTAAACATGTGACAAAATAAACGTGTGAGTAACTCACCTTGTCTAAATCATAAAGGAACCCCTGAGGAGGAAAGAAACACTGAGTCAAACGTGCCATTTCATTTAATATAAATTAATATTTGTCTGGTTTAGATTCTCATTGTTCATGGAAAATCTTCTTCAAACAAAAAACACTGCAGCTACACTTCTGTTCAGCAGTGCGAGACATTTAGCTTCCCATCCAGGGAGCTCTACATCCAGAGTAATCTCACAACGGAGAGTCGTTCGAGTTTTTGTTAGCCTGACTCGCAGAAAAGATGCTGTAGTCCCATACCATATCTCAACAAGGACCACAACATGACATTGTGCCAGCTGACAAAGGAAGTCCTCAACACTTATGAATAAATACCCACTTTATGAGACAGCACCTTGAAGAGGGACCCGACAAAAAGATTACAACCTGCAAAAAACTTCAAAAGGACAATCAAGACATTATTTTACCACAAATGAAATCCAGGGTCAGCCGCTCCATGTCTATATGGACTGGCTACAATACACAAACAACAGCACAGAGAGCATCATCATCATCAGCATAAACTCATGCAGGTGCATCTCAAAACAATGAGAATATCGTGAAAAAGTTCATTATTTGTCCATGATGTTGTACAGTGACTGCTCCGGTGACTCGGAAAGAAAGAAGCAGGTACAGATAACGGACGGATGGATGAAACTCGTATATTACATCTCACAGTGTGAAATATTTCATTTCCTTTATTTCTTGTAATTTTGATTATTAATATTACAAATAATGAAAAACTACAATTCAGTGTCTCAGAAAATTAGAATATTGTGATATAGTGTCTTGCCTGCTGAGGAGACAAAGAACTGGACTGTGGCTCTGTGGTCCAACGTCCTCTTGTCAGATGAAAGTAAATGTTCAACTCAAGGTCAAAGAGTCTGGAGGAAGAGTGGAGAGGTCCAGAATCAACGTTGCTTTAAGTCCAGAGTGAAGTTTCCACAGTCAGTGATGGTTTGAGTCCATGTCCTCTGCTGGTGCTGGTCCACTGTATATGAATACTTCTCACCTCAATCCAGGTAAGATGCTTCTGATGTTCTCTTACTCAGGAGTGACACGACTCGAGGAATGAGACATTTGTAGCTCTTGTCTAGGAGTTCATCAGCTGATTAGGGTGTGACGAGATCTTCACAATATTCTCAGTTTTTGAGATGCACCTGTTTTACGAAACAGCTCACTGGTATTTCAGCTCTTCTGTTAGGAAACACTACATCATATAGACACTGTCAAGGACTTCAAAGTTAAACCTGTGAGTTTCTCCAGGAGAAACATTTCACTTTTCACTTGCACATCAGAAGCAATGGAAACCATCAGGAAACGACTTCAACAAGATAATGGACCAGTTTCACCCCAGAGCAGATCTGTACCTGCTGGACCTCTGTCTTTCTACAACTTATTTAAAGTTTAATGACAGTATTTACAGACAGGAGCATGATTGTGCCATTGAGTCCCCAGTGTCACTGACAGTGGTGGATCTCTGAATCTGGAACAGAGAGCACTGGACTCTGAGCTACTGGTTCAGATGTGTGGACGATCCTGGGTCAACATCAAAGCTAAGCAGTAGAAGTGTTCACCAGACATGTCGGCTCTGTGGACAACATCCTCAAGTTCACCAGAGGTGACGCCATCGACAACAAGCTGCCTTTTCTGGACTGTTTGGTGAACGTGTAAAAAGATCTGAACCTTCTGTTTGACCCACTGGAACACAAACTTTCTGTCATCAGAATCCACTCCATTGGGCCGAACATGTCTCTACAAAGACAGAAGAGATGGAAGAGCAACAGAAACACAGAAAAAGCTCTTCAAGCCCGTGGACATCCTGACTTGGAGTTCGTCTGATACCTCATAGCTCCTGCAACTTCAAACAGAGGAGGAGGTCTAAGATTTCATCTTTCTAAACTCTACATTTGACCAAAACATCTCTCTGGCAAACAAAGTCCTGAAGGCCCTTAAACCAAAGGGGAGTGAGATGAATGCATTTCATTTGGAACTCCACACTCCTCAGGTTTTATCTGAAAAACCTTCCCAGAAGACAAGTGGAACATCTTCTACTGCAGTTGTGCTTTAACTTTTGGGATGGCTCTTTCACTGCAGAAAACCACAACATACCAGTCTGGAGTTCCTTTTAGATTCTTTTATCTGTTTGCTGAGGTTATTCAGGTCCATCTGATAAGTCTGCAGGCAAGACCTAAAGACACATTTACAGAGCCAAGTTATAAAGATGTTTACATACCTGTAGAGAGGTAGACATCAAAACGCTCCTTCAGAATAAAAGACGAGGCTTCCTTTGTAAAAAAATAACCACACTTACTGAAGGCCTTTCTTCAAGGCCTCATAGGCTTGATCCAGCTGCTCTGGTTGAGGAACTTTAGGGGTCAGGCTGGACTTGGTGGACATGCTAAACATCAGACTGGCTCTGCTGGACTTCCTGCTGAGACCAGGAGTGCTGAACGCTGACAGGTTCCTGCAGGTTTACAACACCATCATTAGTATGCACCCTGATGAGGACTAAAGTGTAGATATCTACTCTGCTGTAAGATCCAATCATGTCCCAGAGTGTACCAAACATCATGGACAGATTCTGTCCAAGGTGAGTTTATCATTAAGATGGTAAATGGTAAATGGACTGTACCTATACAGCTCCTTTCTATCTGATCCAGACACTCAGAGCTCTTTACAACAATCTGTGCCTCATTTACCCATTCAAACAGCTCTATACTAGATCTCTACAAAGACTAATCAGAGTTTTATCACATTCATACACCGATGGGACACACATCGGAGGCAATGAGGGGTTCAGTGTCTTGCCCAGGGACACTTCAGCATGTGACTGCTGGTGGAATCGAACCCCCAACTCTTGCATTGGAGGACGACTGCTCTAACCACTCATCCACAGCCGCCCCAAGAAAGTAAATATCATCCATCCATCCATCCATCCATCCATCATCTTCCACTTGTTCCAAAAAAAAAAAAAAAAAAGGTAAAGATCAGAGGATTTTAACTTGTTTAACAAACATGAACACATTTTTAGGCAAGAATATAATTTTGCACACTTTCAGAATAGAGGACTCCTAGTCCATATTAAAAAGCTTATTTAATGTTTTTGTCCATGTCGGTCTCTTAGCTGAATACCTCATGAACCTCTGGTTGCTTTTTTCATAAAACTCTAAAAGTAAATCATTGAATATACATCTGCATTTATTATTTTTTATAGTCAATCCAATTCAAGATGACCACAACATCTAAGTGACCTTATCAATACAAAAATGGCTACACTAGGTGATGAACTAAAAAATGATGTGGTGGAGGCCAGGGCGATGTAGGAAACCCACATTTGTAAATCATGTTGCACAAACACCAGTTCAGCCAGTTCAGGGGCATTAGCTGCCGAAACATTTTGAATGTGCAGCTGGTTTGTGTACCTGTAGGCTTTTTCCTGGATGTTAACTCCGGTAAAACTCTGACTCCTAGTGATGGATCTGGAGGCGACACGTCTGACCGGTCGAACCGAGAGAGACATGGTGGACAGAGTCCGCGAAGGACTCCCTGTACGAGACAAGAAACAAAAACAACAAAAGAATTAATGGACTGATTTGTGACATACACAAATATGTTACTTATTATCTTCTGGTGTAATTTAATGAGGAGAATGACATTTGTTCAAGGAGAAGAAACTGCGTTAAAGCTAAAACAAACAGAACACAAAGGTAGCATTACCAAAAAACATCACTTCAGTTTTTTCTCATTTAAAAAATAAAGAGAGACAACCAAGCCCAAATCTCATTAAGGTAGTCAAATAAGGGTCTGGCAGACAGGGCATCGTTTTATTTAGAGCCAGATAAATCAGGCTGTCATCAGCATAGCAGTGAAAGGAACACTGTGCGTCCTGAAAATGGAGCCAGGACAGAGCAAATAGGGGGAAAACAAAAGAGGTCTCAAGATTGAACTCTGAGGAACTCCACACACGAGAGGCAGATGAAGATCTAAAATCACAATGGTTGACCCTCTCAGATAGGATCTGAACCACTCTGGTGCCACTCGCCCACTGTTCTAAACGAGTGATTACAATGTTGTGATCCGCCGTATCAAATGCTGCCGTCAGGTCTAAAAGCATAAGCGCCACACAATCACCAGAACCCATAGCTAAAAATATGTCACAAAAAATTCTTCAAAGAGCAGCAAAGATTTAAAACCGGATAGAAAACCCTCAAGAATGTTTTGTCACTCCAAAGAAAAACCATCAACAATGGCAGCAGCACTGCTTTTATGAACTTATCAGAGACCACACCAGAAGACAGGCTGCTATTAAGAACTGCAAGAACAAACGGTCCCACAAGACCTCTTTAAAAAGTCGAGGGGGTCAGGGTCATGTGAGACCCTGAGCGTTTTAACTGACCCACAATCTTTTGCAGCTAAGATGAAGTCCCTGCCCCAAATTGATCAAAGACAGCAGAAGGTAGGACCAAAGTTGAAGGGTCATGTGCACAAGGTACAATAGAGGCCCTAATAGAGGCAACCTTATGGATAAAACAATAAATCGTTACAGATGGTGAGCCTCAGGGACACAGAGCTGACTCCGCTATACTGTACAGAACCCATGGATTATGGTGATTTTATGACAGAAATGTTTTCATTTATAGAACTGTTGTTAATTTAATCTGATACAATAATTATTTTAGGACTGTAGAGGACTTCAAATGAGTAGCAACCTTGCACATTTTTGTCCACTGTCGCAAAGTGAAGACGAGGAATTGGAAATACCGTCCATGCATGTTGAGAGCATGATAACTTGAAAAATAAGTAAAGTACCGACTTCAATTTTAGTGTGTGGCTGCTTCTGTGCAAGAAAGGTCCCTATCAAAAATTGGGTTATGTGTCAAAATCCAAGATGGCAGTGTATGTGTAAACCTTGTATCGGTGTGTGTCGGTTTTATTCCTTGAGTTCATCTTTTAGTTTAATTTCCTGTCTTTTGAGTTTCTTGTCTTGCACTTGTCCTCCTTCAGTCCTCCTCCGTGTTTTCTCTTCCTGTAGGCAGCTCCTGCTCCTCCCACTCTCACCTGATCTTTGTCTCCTCGTCTCCCCAGGTGTTTGTCATTTCTCCCTCAGTGTCCTGTTATATTCAGTCTCTGGGCTTTTGTTCCCCGTCCTGGTGTTAAACTTTAGAAACTGTTCATGGTCGTTCCTCCCGTGTCGTCCAGACTTTTCATTGCGAGTATTATGCTGCCATTATGGTGTACAGTAGTCCCTCGTTTATCACAAGGGATCCGTACCCTGAAGACCCGCGATAAGTGAAAAACTGCAAAGTAGGAGTAGTAGTACGAGTAGTAAGTAGTAGTTTATTTTAGTATTTATAAAAATAAAGGCATTTTAAATCCTTCCCACAATCTTGCAATATTCTAAATGGTGTTTCTAAACTCTCTAAAAGATACAGAATGTCATGATTTCAGCTCTCTGCCTCCTGCAAGCGCTCTTGGCCACGCCCATTTCTCCGCTCTGCACAGAGAACAGCTGATCAGCTGCAGCAGGAAGTTGATTCTGCAGTAAGGGCTGCACAGAGGTGCAGCCGGTGCTAAAAAATTTACAGTAATTTATTTTAAATAAAAATCCCATGCCGATGGTGCGGCTCATCCATCAATCAGCAAATTGTGCGTCATGTCCACTCTTATTTTGAAAACCTGCGATAGAGCGAGTCTGTGATAAACGAACCGTGAAATCGCGAGGGACTTCTATAGTATGCAGTCTATAATAATATATAACGCAGTCTTTGTTTGTTGCTTCTAATAAATGAGGTTTTCTTATTTCTACTTTGGAGCTGTTAGTTTGTTTGTTTGTTTCCTCTCGTTTAACCAGCATGTGAGACTTTGTTGCCTGGAGCAGCTGTAAACCTCAGGAAATCATTTCTGTCAGTTCGTGCAGTGTTTTTCCAGCTGTGGCCTGTCCAGTGTCATGCTTCCTGTTTCTTCAAACAGCTGAAGGGTCCCCCACCCCCCACAGCACAGGAAATGTCCCCATCCTTCAGGAAGTCAGATGGACTGCTTCTCTGAGTTCAACAGAGACCGACAGAACTCAGAGCTGAGAGCAGGTTACTCTGCTCCAGCTGAAATAAAAACAATTCAATAAAAAATCTTTCATAAATAGAACAACAATCTTTTTGTGCATTTATTTGTAAAATAATTTGCTTTGAGGTAAAATAAATTGGTTACCAGTGGCAACATCTACTGACAGAAACAACAAAATAAGTTGTACAATTCTGATGGGGGGGGGGGGGGGGGGGG